GGGGGCCTTGCCCGTAGAGAGGGCGAGAGCAGAGGCCGTGCCTGGAGGAGTTTCCTTCGTCGTAATACTTCGCAGTCTCCTCCCCCCGCTCACACGCACCCGCTCGCGCCTGCGGTGGGGGGAGCCCCCCAGACGCCGCGGAGCTGGCAGCCGCCCCTGCCCGCATCCCCTCGGGAGGTGCCTCGTGCACGCGCACACCTGGCTGGCCAGTGCCCAGCCCACAGGCGTGCTGGCCGCGGGGGACCCCGTGCGCACTTGGACACCCGCCTTCTCGCGCCAGCGTGGGCGCAGGCGCATTCCTGGTGGTCTCTTGGCCTGGAGGTGAGGCAGGTGCTCCAGGAAAGGAGCCTGGAGCCTGCCCAGCCCCGCCCCCGCGGCCCCCACAGCTGGGGGGCGGGGGACGGTGGGGGAAGCGCTGACCAAGCGGATCAGTCAGACCCCTTGGACCCTCTGAAGGATCCAGGTTGGGAGTGAGCCCGGGAGGACATCCTCAGAACCTCTGAAGTGTCAGGGCAAGGGTTAGCTTTGGGTGGAGTCCTGGCCCAGGTGAGGTCAGATATCTGGGAATTTCTTCCCGGTGGCTATCAGAAGTCTCAGTCCCCGGCACAAGCTTGGCTCGCTCTGAAGTGAAGGGGTGGTAGTGTGCCCTCCCAGGCCTCTCCTCATGGCCCCCCATGCCTCCAGGTTTCCACCAGATCGCCCTGAACAAGGTGGCCGTGCTGCTGCTGGCTGGTGGGCAGGGCACTCGCCTGGGTGTCACCTACCCCAAGGGCATGTATGAGGTGGGGCTGCCCAGCCAGAAGACTCTGTATCAGCTGCAGGCAGAGCGGATTCGGCGGGTGGAGCAGCTGGCTGGCGAGCGCCATGGGACCCGCTGCACGGTGCCCTGGTGTGCCTTCTCTGCATGACCTTGGCCCCAGTGTGATCCCCCCATGTAGCCCCAGCTCTGCCCCACACCAAGATTTGAACCCTAACCCCTGCACAGCCCGGGACAGAGCCCAACATCCACCCAGACAGGCCTGGAGCCCCCACCCAGACTGGATCCCGCTGGCAGCCCCTGTGAGAGCCAGGCCCTCCTAAAGGCCCTCTCAGCCTTTCCTCCCCTGGCAGGTACATCATGACGAGTGAGTTCACCCTGGGGCCCACCGCCGAGTTCTTCAAGGAGCATGACTTCTTTCACCTGGACCCCGACAATGTGGTCATGTTTGAGCAGCGCATGCTGCCTGCTGTGACCTTTGATGGCAAGGCCATCCTGGAGCGGAAAGACAAGGTTGCCATGGCCCCAGGTATGCCTCACCCCTGGCCTAGACCAGCTAGCGAGGGGGCAGGAGGCCTGGGACAGGCTGGAATGTGCCGCCTGCAGGCTGTGTGGTTCTGGGAGAGTGGCTTGCCCTGTCTGGCCTTAATTTCCGTCCATCATGGGGCATTTCCACAGGACTATCTGGATAGTGAGAGAGCTGCCTCAGGCACAAGGTCCAGCCCGGAGGGGCCTCCTACCTCCAGCAAGCCTGGACAGCCGGGTGAGGCCCGGCTGGAGCACCCGCAGGACGCACCCCTTTCTCCCTCTGCAGATGGCAACGGGGGCCTGTACTGCGCGCTGGCGGACCACCAGATCTTGGAGGACATGGAGCGCCGAGGAGTGGAGTTTGTGCACGTGTACTGTGTGGACAACATCCTAGTGCGGCTGGCGGACCCCGCCTTCATCGGCTTCTGCGTGCTGCGAGGTGCTGACTGCGGCGCCAAGGTGAGCGCTCCGCCCCGCCCCGCCCTCCAGCCCCACCTCCGACCACATCGCCCTGCCCATCAAC